CCACACGATTATGCAGGTTTGCACAACTATGCAGAGCTCTCACAGTCTGGTTACAGAATCCCAATGACGGTTTTGCCACTTTCCCTTACATATCCAGACCACAATAAATAAATCATCAACTCAGAAGTGGTAAACACAGAAGACCTTTTGATTGGTCAGGATCCTGTGACCCAAGGGTCACGCCTGGCCAGAGATAGGAAAACATTCTCACAAGAGACCTTGTGAGAGGCACACCCCCTGAACAGCAGAACAGAATTATTACTGCTGTGAAATTGAGACCATTTTACCAAAAACAACAGATTCACAAAATGCACCATATGTGATACATAGACATTCTCAGTGAACTTTGATTGACTTTAGTCACAAGGAAAGGAGAGGGAGTAGAAGAGGGAATCATAGATAAGCTAGGAAATAAGTTTGGGCAATGTGGTGCCCTATGCTCTTTCTTTGAGATCTTCTCTGCAGATCAGTGAGCTTTGTTTTATTGCAGGGTGTTTAATTTCATGTTCTGTCTCAGAAGGAAAACTATCCTTAAACCTAGTAGCAACCCAACAATGTAGCTCTGCAATCTCTGCCCAGCTCCCCTCAGGTCTTTCATTTTACCCAGCCACTGAGAGCGAGTAGTGTAAGATCAAACCAAAGGTAACTTTTTTTCCTCCTTTCTTTTTTATCTTTGTGTTTTGTGTTTTCCTTTAGTTATCTTTTTTTCTGTTTTTTCTAATGGTTTCTGCTTGGTTCTATGCCCATGAAATGGGCATCTATGGTTCTATGGATTTTTTTCCAAACCAATATTTAAGTTAGTTGGCATAAATCACCTATCAATTTCAGTGAGTGAAGAACAAATTTATATTCACATGTATTATATATTAGCTATATTATCTTTTCTGACAGACAGCATGTTGAAGCCGCTCAGGCTGCCATTTTTTCCTTTTTTTTTGGTATCTCCATGTGGTCCTATTCACTATCACAACTTGACTTGTCCAAAATGTAAACAAGCTCTTTGCTGTTGCACTCTACACATACTATACACTGTGAATTTTTTCCCCCTTTTTTCAAATTTAAAAAATAAATAAATAAAAACCTGACTGCCTCTGCTAGAAATCTTATAATGGGCCTTGTCTGGATCTTCCACCAGGACAGTGAAAACAAACAAAACAAACATCAAAATCAACTAATTTACTTCAGTGAAAGGTTAGGGTTTTGTGGATTTTTTTTTTCATATAAATATAATAATAATTCTGTATTCCAATAATTCTGACCATGACTGCACTGACAGCCCAAGCTATTTTATTTGCATTTGATTTAATCTAAGGATGTGGTTGCTGTAAGTCAGTTGTTATGTTTCTGCACGTCTAATTGAAATTGATTTCAAATTGAAACAAAATTTTAATAAACTAAGTGACTTCTACTTGAGCACAAGTAAAAGACCTACATGCAGAATACCTATCACAATTATGTTTTTTCTTTGGTTCCTAGGTGAGGGATCATGGGAAATGGAGTCCAGAGAAAACAATCACACACTCACACCTGTTTCCCATCAGTCACACTATAAAGCAGGGCTGGGCAACTTTGGTCCTGTTTGATTAGGGTTGGAGCTAAACTCTGCAGGACAGTGGCCCTCCGGGACCAAAGTTGCCCAGCCCTGCTATAAAGGTTGCACTCATCCACACATACATGGCTGATTATTGGTTAGCCCATTACATCTCTGTGTCTTCGTGTTTTTTTTTCTTTGGCTTGCCTTGTTTTGCCGTACCTAGTGTTTTTGACCTTGGATTGTTTATCTGTTTTTGATAGTTTGCTGCCTGCCCTGACCTTTGCCTGTTTTGGATTTCCCTTTTGGATTACCTTGTGTGCTACTGTTTACTGGTATTTTGACCCTGCCTGTGTGCTACTGTTTACTGGTATTTTGACCCTGCCTGTTCTGACCACTCTTTGGATTAAAGCTTGCATTTGGATCCAACCCCGCTGTCATGCCTCTCCACGTTACAATACCTTCCCACAATATTGGATTTCATTTTTGAGCCAGTGCGTGGTACTTACAAACATTACATAATGTGAAAATCTCCTTTATTTTTATTGTATTGGTTAGTGGAACATACAGCTGGCATAATTTCACTACAGAGAAACTTGACAAATGTGTACACAAATGACCAATTAGCTCATCATTCGTCTGTTACTTGTCTAAATAATGACAGCATTCACTTTCTTAACCTCACACACACACAGATATATTGTGTTTTTACAAATATGTTGTGCAATGTCAGGAAAAATTATTAGTAGTTAACCTTAATTGTGACAGTTTACAATTAATTTGTAATGTCAAATAAACATTTCATTATGATAGATCATAGGCCATTTATACTGGAGACACAAAACATGCTTGTGAAGTGAAAATTAAATTTCCTATTCCATCATATCCATAATTAAGGAATCACTGTTCGATGTGGAGATAGAAAAAGATAAATTGTATTTGCTTTATTGTAAAAGTATGCGTCTATATACAGTCATGTGAAAAAGAAAGGACACCCTATTGAAAATGTAAAGCAGAAGTTTTGGCAGTTTGCTGGTCTGGAGCCTTCAGGTGTGTGTTAACACAATGCCAAAGAGGAAAGACATCAGCAATGATCCTAGAGAAGCAGTTGTTGCTGCCATCAATCTGGGAAGAGTAATACAGCCATTTCCAAACAATTTGAAGTCCATCATTCCACAGTGAGGAAGATTATTCACCAGTGGAAGACATTCAAGACCTTCCCAGGAGTGGATGTCCCAGGAAATTCACTCATTGGTCAGACCGTACAATACTCTGAGAAATTGCAAAAAACCCAAGAACTACACCTCAGACTCTACAGGCCTCAGTTAACATGTTAAATGATTAAGTTGTGAAATTACAATAAGAAAAAGACAGGGCAAGTATGGCATGTTTGGAAGGTTTGCCAGAAGAAAGCCTCTTCTCTCTAAAAAGAACATGGCAGGATAGTTTAGGTTTGCAAAGTTGCATCTGAACAAACCATAAGTCTTCTAGAACAATGTCCTTTGAACAGACGAGACCAAAGTGGAGTTGTTTGGCCATAATGCACAGTGCCACGTTTGGTGAAAACCTAAAAGAGCATATCAGCACAAACACCTCATACCAAAAGTCAAGAATGCTGATGGAAGGGTGATGATTTTGGGCTTGTTTTGTAGCCACGGGACCTGGGCACCTCACAGTCATTGAGTTGACCATGGAATCCACTTTATACCAAAGTATTCTAGAGTCAAATGTGAGGCCACCAGCCTGACAACTAATGCTTGGCCAAAATTGGGTCATGCAACAGGACAATGATCCCAAGCACACCAGCAAATCTACAACAGAACAGCTGAAACAGAAAATAATCAATCTGTTGCAATAAAAGTCATACAGAAAATTATTACTTCAAGTTATTGCTACTAAAAGTGGATCTACAAGCAATTTAATCATAGGGTGTCCTTAATTTGTCACACATGGCATTTCCATAATGGCTTTATTTTTGTTAAATATATAGTGACACGGTGTGATATGTCATGTGTTGTTGTTCATCTGAGGTTTTATTTTCCAAATTTTGAGACCTGCCAAGGACCAGGTGATTTTTTATTATGTCCTAATATGGAAAACCATGTAATTCAATAGGGTGTCCTTTCTTTTTCACATGACTGTATATTGAAATTGCATTGTGCCATTAAATGCCTGAGTTTGGAGATCACAGAATTGATACATTTCACAAGATGCAACATCCGTCTGAAGAGCGACAATTCGTCTGCTGTATGGCCTCCATCTGTTCTCTGTGTTGCTGCATCATCACAGCCATTGATTCCTCGTGTCTCCTGTTGGAATTATCTAACATCTCTGCAAACTCTCTAGCTCTATTACTCTCAGCTTCAGCATTCTGCCTCTTAAACTCCTCCATCTCCTCTTTCATCCTGTCTGCCTTCTCCTTAAATCCCTTCTCCAACAGAGCAGCCTGCTCCCTCAGTTTACTGTCCATGGCACGCTCAGCCTCCTCTCTCTGAAGTTTTATCTCCTCATCCATCTTCTCCTTCATCTGCCTCATCCTCTCTTCATTACTCTTTCTCTCTGCTTCCATCTTCTCTTCTAGCTGTCGCTGCTTCTCTTCTTTAACTTTGATTTCCTGCTCCAGGAGGACTGCTTTCTCTGTTTCCTCTGGTTTTTCATTGGCAAAAAGAGAAGAAAAGAAAAAAAATGAGACAGAATAAAATAGATCCTTAGTCTCATGGTTTAAAAGGAATAAAGAATTATCAAGGTACTATCTGCTAAATATGATTGTCCTATAAAGAAAACACTACCGTGAATTACTTTAAACATACTAATGCACACTTTAAGATGGACACTTCCTTCTGTTTTCAACTTGGATATTTCACTAAAAGAATTAATTTTAATCAACTACTTACACATATGTAGGTGTACCTGTAGTTCCATCCTTACAACTAAGAACTGATTTAGAACCATACAAATAAAGCCTGAAGAGGTGAAAGTGTTGATCTTCATCACATTTACCTTGATTAGTGATGACATTGGAATAAATAGCTACCCTATATTGCAATTATTGCCAGGTGTAAATCTTCTACCTTTGAAACAGCTTGTAGCATTTGATGCTACTTGTAGCTGGTGTTAAATTAATTTGACTGTTACATCATCTTGCTCATGTCTCAGAGTTCTTCATTGTCCAGCAGTACTTTCACAACAAGTAGCTAAACATTTGAGCACTTTTTGAAACAGGGAAATTAGGATTTGAAGGTTTAACAATCTCACCCTTAATCTTTTTTTCCTTCTCACTCAGTTTTTTGTCTGCATGCAGAACGGCTTTAGAATCCACAGATTTCTGCTTCAGAAACTCCTCTAGGACCTCTTCAGCCTATTGATATAAACACACATAGAGAAAAATGGACAGTTATGACTATGATGATGAAAGTGATCATATTACTATAATGTTGAGTAATATAGGCAAGACCTTGACTTCTTTATTAGCCTGACTGTTGTAATTCTTCACAATGTCCTCCAGATCCTTGCAGAAGAGCTCATAGCCGCCAGGTTTGGCATAAAAGCCCTGCTTGAGTTTTTCTGTCATTGGTCCAGAGAGGACTGACAGGAGATCCTCACATTGTCTCTTTGAAGCCTCCTCGTTTTGACGCAAATATTCATCAAAGAGTTTATTAATTTTTTCCTAAAAACATAACATGTAGCATGTAAGTAACAGTTCTCAGTTTTATAATGCATCAGAGGACATATCATCTATGGGTGCTTCTTAAAGAAGGCTGCATCCCAGTGAGGCTGTCTTTCCTAGACCAGCACTTCTGTCCCACACAGCATTACATTTAATGAATAGTAAGTCTGCATGGCTACATAGTAAAGGTTTCCACCCCCACTGTCATGAAATAATATTTGTATAATTTTTTTATTAACTGACTTTTGTTAATGCAATACAGTGAATGAGAATCGTATGACAACTGTCTGTGGTCCCCCCAAAAGTATTTTATTGTCCAACAGTTCAGTTGGCCCAGTTCTTCAGAGGTGCTAGAAGATACTAATCAAAAGAGTACCAAAGCTTTCTATTTCAGTGACGGCGCTACACCGGGGCTGGGGGGGCTATAGCCCCGTCAGAATTTTGAATAGCCCCGGTTTACTCTGACGTCATCAATATCATTTATTTTCTTAGCACCCCCACATATTGGTCTAGCCCCCCCTTAGCACCGGTAGAGAAAATATTCTGGCGCCGTGCCTGTTCTATTTACAACATGTTTTTTGAAGTGTTGAGCATTGTAACTGTTAAGCACGTAAATCACAATGGCCAATCGGAGGTATTTTATTTAGTCAGAAGCCGGTCAATCCAACGCTGATTCTTGCACTCTTATGAATCCTCTCAAAATAACCAACAAAGTGCAAACACAATATTAAAAGAGATTCATTATGCAGTATGGTAAGCTCTTTTCATTATAATGGGAATTTTAACACTATAGCAGTATATTCAGTTCACAATTTAAATATGGCCACACACACTCACTTGACATTTTATCAGGTATACCTTGCTAGGTACCAGGTTGGACCCCCTTTTGTCTTCAGAACAGCCTTAATTTTTCATAACATTAATTCAACTAGGTGCTGGAGACATTTCTCAGAGATTCTTGTCAGTGCTGACATGATAGCATCATGCAGTTGCTGCAGATTTGTTGGCTGTACATCCATGATGTGAATCTCCCATTCCAACTGTGGTGGGAGGAGCAAACGACAGACACAGTGGGTGTGGCCTCAGGACATGAAGAGGCTTTTATTTAACAGATATAAAACATAAAAATGGGGAAATAAAGTGTCCAAGGGGAAGGAGCGTCCAAAAATAAACGGGGGATCTTGTGTCCTTGTTGTGCGGGGGTATCGTGAAGGAAGGGCATTGTTCAGTAAAGAGGGGTCCAGGTAAGGGGCGGAGTCTTGTGGCCACAAGCCTCAGTCTTCTGTTCTTAGCTGACTGAAGTGGCACCCGGTCTTCTGCAGCTGTAGCCCATCTGCTTCAAGGTTTGACATATTCAGAGATGCTCTTCTGCATAATTTGGTTGCAACGAGTGGCAATTTGAGTTGCTGTTGTCCTTCTATCAGCTCAACCAGTCTGGCCATTCTCCTCTGACCTCTGGCATCAATAAGGCATTTTTGCCCACAGAACTGCCACTCACTGGATATTATCTTTCTTTTGGACCATTCTCTGTAAACCCTAGAGATGGATGTGTGTGAAAATCCCAGCACGTCAGCAGTTTCTGAAATACTCAGACCAGCCCATCTGGCATAATTTCATCATTGAAATTCTTCAGTTAAAGAAGCAACAAGTACTTTGGAAATGCAGGTATGATTCATTTGTGTCTACAGTTTAACATAAATGTTTCCAGGAATGGAAGAATGTGCATGACTTTTCATGTCTGTGTGTACAGATCAGTGTGCCTATGACCTTTATTATTTATATTTTGATTATATTTTGCACTGTTGTAAATAAACTACAAACAAAAATAAATTTTCTTAATTTCCTCACATTCTTTCTTAACTTTTTTTTTTTTTTTCACTAACGATGCATAAACATTGTTTTCTCAAAAGTACAAACTTACATGATACATATTTTTGTAGCACAGTTTGTGCTGAATACAATGTAATCAGATTTTAGCCATTAATGTGTTTATAACTAAAAATAAAAAGCACAATTGTCAGGACATGTCAAAACTTCTCCTGGACCCAAAAGCACTCTCAGACCTCAGGGGGATAAGTCTTGTGTAAAGATGCCAATCTGAGCTGCCTCATTAATTTGAAAAGCACCCTCAGTGATTTGATTCTGCAAATGAGCTGGCAGTTCACAATTGACCCGAGGGTGTTCAGTGTCAACTAATTTTTCATCTGTTTCTTCATGAATTGGAATGTGTGCAAAGGATTGTGGGTGACTGGAGGATGCAAAGAATACACTTGATGCATCCTAAATAATAAGATGAATGAAGTCCACAAAATGAAGGCTGGCTTCCAAAGGTCCTTCAAATTGAGGTGGCCTTTGGTGGCAGTTGATGGCATGGCAGAAGAGAGCATTAAAATATTCATAATGATTATAAGGTTTGCAGGTATTCAGATGTATTCAGAACCAACAAAGGGCCAGAAGAGATGTTTTATTTTTCACCTGGTTGCCTATTGTCAACAGTTTACAGCATCAACCTAAAAGAACTGAAACTGGAAATATGTGAAGAGTTCCTGCTTACCTCTAGAGTTTTCAGGTACCCCCCATCATTGTCCCTGAATGAACGCTTCATGAAGGTTTGTGTCGCTGTGCTGCTGAGATGTTGGTGTTCTGAGGACACATCCTTCAGTTCTAGCGGGAAGGTGTCCTTCAGCTTCTCCATTCCACTCTGGTAAATTTCAAGCCCGTCCTTCACTGCAGCCTCATTTTCAATCTTTGCCATGGCGATCACAGCGTTCTCCAGACATGGCACAACTCCACTGGAGATGGTGTCCACATAATTTTTTGCCAGATGACCCAGAACTGCAGAGAAGTAAAGAAGTTAAACACAGTGTTAAGGAAAGGGTATTGAACAATCTATAAGTGTATGCAAACTCTTTTCTCAAACTCAAAATTTTCTTTTGAATCACCTCTGCCAGATACTGTGATTCCGTCTTTCAGCTTTTTCACTTCACTCTTCTCAAAGGCATACTTGCAGAAATTTTCTGTGACCTCCAGGAAGTCAGAGGAAAAGTCAGCAGAATCCAACTTTTCAAGACGTGACACATTCTCTGGGGCAGTTGGAAACGGGAAAGTGAAGCACTTTCTGGAGGGGAAGTAGTTTTGGATGCACTCCCTGGGCAGGTTGTACTCCATCACTTTTTTTGAAGTGCCTAGAACAGATAAATGCATGCTGATGCTTCTCTCAATTTACAGATTACAAAACTCTAAGTAAAGTAGGTTGCCAACCAAAATGCCTATTCCTGCCATGTGTACCATAGATGCAAGTCCGTGGCAGTAAATACATCCCAGCCATATGTGAATTTATGTGAAAATATTATTTATAAAACAGTTAGTTCCAGTCCTTGATTCTGATTGATCAACAGCTGTGTTTTATTCATAATAAGTACGGCTATGACCATTTCACCCAATGATTCTGTGTATCACTGCGCAACTCCCTTAGCAACCACTCTATCAATCAATATAAACGGCATTATCCATGGAATCTGTTCATTATTTTTGTAATGAATTATGAGCAATGTTGGAGGAAGTTCATTTTAAAAGTAATACGATATTGCATTACTTCATAAATAAGTAACTAATTGTGTTAAAAAAGGTGACCACTCAATTCTCACGGTGACCACATCACACAGCAGAGCAATTTTTTGCTTAGAGCAAAATGCGCTCTGTTCAAACGCTCGAGAATCAGGCAAGAACAGAATCCGCAAATGCTTCACTATGAGCCTGTTCAACTCCCTTAAGGGGCAATGCATTCATGCAAACGCTGTCTACAATCTTGGGTAAAAGGCAAAGCAAAAATTAGAATCAAGCTTCTAATTCTCTCTCAGTAGTCCTGCAAATACATCACAATGAGCACATGCCACTTTCTTGTGAGTCAAACGCACTCTATCCTTCCTTATCCAAAAAGAAATAAGCGCAATGAGCACATTCAACTCCCCTTGAGAGAAAGTTGTGTGAATTTGCAGGTATCAAAGCAAGCCACTGACACAGAAGCATACACTAGTGATGGGAAGTCCAGGTCTTTTCCTTTCGGACAGTTCGTTTCAATGAAACGGTTAAAAACCGGTTTATTTGCAACCGGTTCTTGACTCGAGAACGAGAACCGCTCCAGCAGTGGGCGTGTATGTTCGTTATTCGGCTCGCTGCACACATGCTGCTGTTCATCATCAGTTCTCTCTTCACAGCAGTTCAGTCAGAGTACTGTTTGAGTAAATGAATTACTCTGGGATATTGGTTTATTTAGACTCAGAGGAAGTGTCAGCCATGTTAAAAAAGTGATTAACTTAAGTAATTTGTGGATTAATGCTTACTAGAGACGCGAACCGTTTCAAACGATTCAGTTCGATTTGGTGAACTGGTTCAACCGGTTCACTAAGAAGAACCGGTTAAATCAAACAATTCGTTCACGAACCGGACATCACTAGCATACACTCTTAGCATGCTTAGTCGGGTGCTAACATAAACAAACGGTCTTGTCAGGATGAAGAAGAGGATGCCCTGTTGAAAAAACCAACATATGCTGGTTAGGTATGTTTTAATGCTGGGATGCTGGTTTATGCCGGTCCTTTGCTGGTTTAAACTGGTCCTTTGTTGGTTTAAGCTGGTCCTTTGCTGGTTTATGCTGGTCCTTTACCAGCACATGACCAGCATAAACCAGCAAAGGACCAGCTTAAACCAGTATCCCAGCGTCAAAACATACCTAACCACCATATGATGTGCTCTTCTGGCACCATTTTATATTATGGTCGTATAGTAGTATAGTGGTCATAGGCTGTCGCTGACTCATGTTATTGTCGAGTTTAGACATGCTTCAGACACCAGTCAAGACAATGCAGTGCGAGTTCCCTATTGAAAGGGAACTAAATTTAGTTCATGTGTGTTTTATTTTTATTTTTAGTTAGTTTTAAAGGCAATCGTTTTAGTTTTCATTTACAGTAGCTTTAGTCCTTTCATCTGAATTTTCCTATCTTGGTTTCAGTTAATGATAACACTGCTTACAAGCATGTTTTATTAATTGAATTATTTGTTTTGCTTAAAACTTGAGTATGTTTATAATCTGCATGACCAATTTTGTTTATGGTTCCCTAGAAACAAGGGGTGGCTCAACTTCAACTCAAGGCTCAAAACACCCCACTCTCCCCTAATTTGAGTTTTTTCTTTTTACCTGCCAACTGAAACAGTGAAATCTAGGACAATGACAAGCCAAGGTTGACTACTACTAGAGAAAATGCACTTTGATATGTTCGCCTGGTATCTTGTAAGTCTGCGGTTAAATTGAGTGTGTCACAGAAATGTGGCAGTACCCGCTGCAGCTAAAGATTTGTTTTGGTCGA